TGTCCGTCAGGAAGTCAGTGATCCACCTGCAGGTGGAATCGGGCACGTTGAGCTGGGAGAGCTTGTCCTGGAGCAGGGATGGCAGGATTGTGTTGAAGGCAGAGCTGAAGTCCACAAATAGGACCCTGGCGTAGGTCCCCGGGGAGTCCAGGAGCTGTAGGATGTGGTGGAGGGCCAGGTTAATGGCGTCGTCTACAGATCTGTTGGCTCTGTAGGCAAACTGCAGGGGGTCCAGGAGGGGGGGGAGGTGAAGGACTTGAGATGGGAGAGAACCAGGCGTTCAAATGACTTCATGACGACAGACGTAAGTGCTACAGGTCTGTAGTCGTTGAGTCCTGTGATCCTGGGCTTCTTCGGGACGGGGACAATGATGGAGGATTTGAAGCAGGCCGGGACATGGCAGGACTGCAGAGAGGTGTTGAAAATGTCCGTGAACACAGGAGTAAGCTCACTGGCGCAGTGTCTCAGAGTGGCCGGAGACACGTGGTCCGGGCCAGGAGCTTTGCGGGGGTGCAGCCTCAGGAAGAGTTGTTTAATCTCTTTAGAGGCTATTGTCAGGCTGGGGGCAGGGCTGATAGGTGGGTCGTTAGAGTAGTGGGGGTGGGGGAGGTGTCAGGGGCAGCATCAAAGCGACTGAAAAATAAGTTCAGATCGTCAGCTAGCTTGTGGTCGTCAGCACAGGGGGGGCTTTGGGCTTGTAGTTGATGATCTCCCGTAGGCCCCTCCAGACAGAAGCAGTATCGTTGATACCAAACTGCTCCTGTAGTCGTTCTCTGTGCCGGGACTTGGCTGCTTTCAGTTCTTTCCTGAACTGATATTTAGCTGTTTTGTAGCCGCTGCGGTCCCCCTCCCTGAAAGCAGACTCCTTTGCTTTCCTGAGCTGCCGGAGTTTAGCAGTGAACCAGGGTTTGTCGTTGTTATAGATGACCCTGGTCCTTGTTGGAATGATGCTATCCTCGCAGAAGTGGATGTATGACGTCACAGTATCCGTGTATTATTTAGTATAGAGTTATTTCATCCTGAGTGCTCCTCATTCCTACTGTTCTGTAACTGGTGATACAACACTGAAATTTCCCATTGTGGGACGAATAAAGGATCTCTTGATCTTAAATGCAAAGGTCACATTCCCCAACAGGGACAGTAAAGTAGCCATAACCACATCCGTCCTCTGTCTGGGGTCAGGGTGCCACTGAAAAGAGATTCTGACGCCTCAGTGGGGCTTTCCTGGTTAAATAAAGGTCGGTAAGGTTTATGGTGGAAACCCAGAGGCGCAAAGAGGGCACATGCACTAGGCCTTGTATAGGCAAGGCAAGGCAAGGCACAATTTCATACGCAAGGCAACTCATAGTACTGAACAAGACAAAATAGCATTAAAATCATAAATAATCACAGTACATTAAAAAGAAAGATTTAAAAAAATCCTCAGTTGTGTGCACAGCTAAACAGAACTCTTTTTAACCTGGTTTTAAACATTGTCAGAGAGGAGGCCTGTCTCACACTTTCATGAAGATTGTTCCAGATTTTAGCAGCCGAAAGACAGGGGGTGCCTAAATGCTAGAAGGAAATAAATATATGATATTAAATATAGGCTAGTCACCGCAAGGGACAGCTCCCCATACCATCCACTAGTTCAGCGGCACATGACAGCAGCGCCTCCCCAGCCCAGTAAAATCATATAATTAACCCGTGGTGCCGTAGAGATGGAGAGGCAATCCCTCGGGGCGGGATGGGATGAAAACATGTTTTTCAAAGAGTCTGGAAAACAGTGGGTAAGTAGCCTAATGTGTGTGTTTATTTCGTCACGGGGGGCACCAGGTTTCATTTTGCATTCCCCCTAGATAGTTGGTAGTTGCGCCCCTGTGGAAACCCATACAATCTCCCGGGTCACAGATTTGAGCTGTCAGTATTGTATAGGAGAATGTCCAGGCATGAAGCTGTCAATAACACCAAAGGTAGAAGTCAAAGCTAAATTCCCCAACCTTCAAGTCAACAATTGTGTTTATATGATCAAGATGTTCTGGATCAACATTCAAACGTAAAAGTATCCAACACATGTGTCACAGATTATAGAAAAATGGCCGACAAACTATAATAAAGTCTGTTCTAAAGGATTTTCAGATGAAGTTATGTGCCTTTACTTTCTGGCCATATTGCTTTTCTACAACATTTATGGACATTAATCAACTTTCATGGACTTTTCAACTCCCCCTATGGAAAAATACTTATGTGTTCTATTTTTCTCTTTCATTCTCTGATCTGTGTTGGCGATTTCAACGAGAACTACTGTTGTGATGTGGGGCTATTCAAGAAAAAATTGAATTGAATTGAGTGTGAAAGTCAGATCCCGTTAGACCCCTGAAGCTGTGCAGGGCAGGGCCTGGTTAGATGGGAGACCTCTGGGAACACCAGGTGCCACAGTGTTGGACCTGTAAAGTGCAGAACTGTTGATGTGTCCTTAGGCAAGACACTTCACCCAAATTGCCTAAAATGAGTCTGGTGTGTGTGTGAATGGTTGGTGGTGGTCAGAGCGATTGATAGCACATCCTGGTTGCCTCGCTTCTTTCAGTGTGTCCCAGGGCAGGTGTGGCTACAATAGTAGATTATCACCACCGTGTAGGGATTGAAAGAATAATGACATGTTATTTTGGACACTTTGAGTGTCCAAAACAGCGCTATATAAAACCAAAGCATCATTATTAAATGAAGAAGGGGAAGAATATTGGGAAACGTTGACGCACACAAAATACAGTAGTCTTTAGTGTGCAACAATACCTCTTTGGAACGATTCGAAAAAACTATTTTAACAATTGACTCTAGATATAGTGATTCAATATACAAATAGGATAAATGCCAGGAACAGCAGTTGAATATTAGCATTTGCTGTATGTGTTACAGCAAAATAAGCAACTGATGTAAGAACTGCTTTGTCAAATACATTCAATCAAATAAAATAAAAAACAGCAATCCACTATCACTAAACTATATGCCGGTACATAATCTAATATTATCCTGTGTGTCATTATTATCGTTTTATTCATTTTCATATGTACAGTATTCATATATTCTTATGTTTAGTAAAACAAAAGGCATTTGATTAATTATATTAGATAGATAAAAAAGACTCCAAAAACCATTGTTCACAAGCAGTGACAGCAGGCCTGACATGTTTAAATTCAATCCACTCCTAAAAACTTGTCGTTCGCTGAAATAGTTTCTTGAATTCCTGTGTGTGAATCAGCAAATGAAAGGAGCATTTTTCAGCATTATGTAATTTCATCGTAGAACTTCACACGCCAATTGCATTACGAGAACACAGCTCATAGTGAATATTCAGATGAAGTATTGCTGTGAATGAATCCCTTGAGCTGTGCCCACGGCAGACACGCCCTGCATCCTCCTCTCGCACACAGACACACCACACAGAGCGACTCTTGGCCCATCTTCCGTTCGATTTCACGCCTCTCCATCTCTGTGTGAGTCTGCATGTCCGCATTCTGACGTACAGGCTGCTCCGCACAAAAGCACTATTCTTTTATACTGTAACTCTGTGTGTCTTATGCAACCCAGGTCAAAGTCAGCTGTATTTGACCAGCGGCGTTCATGACCTTTCCCTCCACAGGCCTTTATGGTGGGATAATGAGAGAGATGTTTGCTACTGTCATAAGTGAAAATCCAAAGACACAATGGAGCCGTGTCTCTGAAGCGGACAATACAGCTGAAAATTGTTTGTGGGAATCTACTTTCATCCCACTCCGTCTGGACTCTATGGGAACAAGCACAACAATATACATACAGTACATGCTCTAACAAAGACAGGACGTCAATGTCAAGTAAACACCACCATCTGACAGCAGCAGCCACATAAAGGTATTGAATAAACACAGTTCATACCATTCAAGGATGATGCCTTAAGCTTGACAAGCCTTAAAGAAGTCATTTCACTTTTCTTTGTTATATTTATATCATAGACTGTAAATATCAACAGACGTAGTGATGCCTATCTCCTCCGTTGAAACTTGAAGCTGCACTAACTGATTTTGAGACATTTTCAAACGCGAGCAATGGCCTCACGCTCTCTGCTCGCCCTGCCCGCACCCAAGGAGCTTTAGCCCCCCAATACCCCCTTCCCCCGCAGACTGTGCTCTGTGCTGTTGTCAGCTTCGGGGCTAGCGTCTCACGATATGGAACATTATGGCACTTTTGTAAGTGGATGGCGTGTCCATAGAATGACAGAACCGGGAAGTGCGGAGAGGACGAGACTTTCTTTTGGATGGATGTTTCGCTGTGTAAGCAGTAACGAAGACACAAAAGTTTCAGGTTAGCCTTTGCCGCTTGTGCTAACTCAGCTGTCGGTGCTAACCAGAGACCTGTGGCTTTTCTCAAGAAAGCGGGGGCTAGCGGTCCGCTGTGATTGGTCACAATCCGAGACCCGAACCACATTCTCTTCCTTGTTTCATGAAAACTCGATCTAAAATATAATGTCACGCCAGCACAAACCTGCGCTACTTAAGCTAAGGACGTATATCCCAATGCATTGCATGGATATGGATTGCATTTTCGTAATGAATACGAAAATAAAGTCAGTTAGTGCAGCTTTAAGAGTGATCGCTTTTCCCTCCTACCGACTTTTTTCAAAATGGCAACGAGTGGCCCCTCCCGCCGGAAAATGTGAAGAAACTCATTTGTGCATGCGTCAGCTTGCATGAGCCTGATCTATGGCATTAATTTATATTTAACGAGTGCTTTCATAAGTCCACAGCGGCTAAGCTAGGCTGGTCCCCAAAAATAATACTAGACTTTTAGACCAGGCTGTAAAACCGTTTTTGAGATAAAAAAAGCCGGCATAAGAATTTATTGGATAATTTTGTTTCCTGGTACGCCACCACCGGCAGGGAGTCAGATTACAGGCATGTCAGCGCACATGTTCATGGACCCATTAAAGCCGAGACCCCCCCCCTGATTTATATATAGAGATTTAGATATGAAGATAGTTGTAGTACCTGCACACAGAGACGTCCCCGTGCTCGGTGCTGTCTGGAAAGCTCCCAGGTTTGAAGTTGGACACGTTGAAGAAGGACAGCGTGTGGTCGATGAAGCCGTGCATGGTCCCAGTGGGGCTGTAGATGTACTGATAGACCAGGCGCGGGATGAAGTCTGATGTGAACGATATTACAAAGGCCTGCAGACAGTATAAACAACTCTTCAATACAAATTATTATTGAACAATTATTAGGGATATTGCGACTAAATTTAATTAATATTATTAAGTCTGTCTGTGAGGGGGTGTAGCTCATTGAGACTTTAAACTCAGCCTAAAGACCAGGCTCAAAGATGTTCAAGTGTACAGATTGGAAATGAATGTGTGTTGTATACATTTTTTTTAATCTTGTGTCTCTTTGTGGTTAAGGGTGGAATATTTTCACCTGTATTTAAAATGCTAATCAGGCCATTTTCTGTATTATTTCTGTAAACCTGCTGTCACTTTGCCCCAGGACCGCAAATGAAAATTACCTATTAGCTAAGTCTTGCCTGAACAAAATATTTATAATGCAATATCCCTATTAAACAATATATATAAATAAATAAAAATAAAAATAGAAAACACAAAGCTTTCTACTATTGTGGTTTTTTGCAAAGGGCTTCCTTTTACAATGATTTATTGCCCTTGTGGGAATTGGGACTCTTTTTCTGTTGCCACTGCTCAGTTTATTACTCCAACTTAATAATACAACCTTTTTAGGAAATCCTGCTTGATACTGCTTGGCATAAAATGTAAACGGAAAAGGATTTGGTTGCCAAGCTTCAGATAAATCCTAAACAAACTTTGCAAAAATCCCATGAAGACAGAATCCTCCAGGCCTTGACCTCTTGTTATTAACATGCTGTGTTTACAGTACGCCTCGTATTCGACGTCTTACACAAGTCAGCGAATTCGCTTTACTTCTATGGAAGGTGGAGGCTAAATATAGAAGTTATGTTAAAATCACTTACATTGATGATAACAGAGAACTTTCCCATTCCACTCAGGATGTTGTACCAAACACCTAGAAACATGAGTAAAATGAGAAACGGTCATTCTTCTCAATCATTTATTTAGTATTTAGTATGTATTCATTTACATACTACACTACTGCACTACAATACTAAGTGCATGATAAAAGACATGAACACATGACATGAAGCATGAACACAAACATGCCAGATTAGGGGCTAATCGGTTTTATTACTTTGTATTAAGGTAAACTTCCAAACAGCCAGAGAAAAATCTTGTATGTATATGTAAAAATCTGAAAATAGGGTTCGGGTTGTCATTGATTTAATTTAATTTTGTCCAATCTGGAACGATGAGGGAGGAGCAAGGGTCTTTTACATTTTTCACAGTAACTCTTTCACATTCAAAATATGGATGCTTAAAGTTGATTTCATATACAACAGATATGATGATGATTATTATTTTTCACAGGCTGAATATTGTGGCCATAAGCCAATAGAAATAATGTTTTAAAAAACGGTCCTAAAACAGGTGCTAAAAGAACATAGTATGCTTTCGGCCCTTTGAAAACCCCCCATGTAGGAGTCGTACCAATGTCCTTGGCCCGCGCCGCCACTGGTCGCCGCAGTTCAGTCACAAACTTCTTTGCATCGAGACGAATCTCAATCACGTTATTGAGCAGCGCGAAGAGAGGAGCCAGAGGGAAGGAGGCCACGAACAGGGAGACAAACCCAAACTGGATAACTGTGGAGCATGTGAGAACGAGAAGGCTCAAAAATACTGCTGCTTCTGTTTCAAAAATATATATTGTACTAATACTTAATTATTTAAAATGTGCTTTGGCAGTGATTACAGATGACTCAAAAGATAGGTCGAAAGGAAACGTATAAATACATGAATAATTATAATTATGATAAGCATTTTCTAATGCATGACTGAAATATATATATATGCATTTGATTATTTCAAAAATATGTGCACAGGTTTTACATGAAGCTTAGCTGCCTTTTTGTTTCATAAATAACACATTGTGTGTGTCTTAACGTAGAGAGTCTGGTAAAGTAAAATGTTGAGAACAAATAAACCAGAACACAGCATACAGTCTTAAAAAAACATTTTATTTGTTGCAAAATTGTAAGAAAGAGTCACTTTTGACGATATAGGCTGAGAGCGGCTGAGAGAGGGTGGTCCTCTCTAAATCACTTTTCTTATTAAGCTGATCTAAAGATATGAGAGGGCAAAAACACATGCATGTGAAAACCAGTGATCAAACCTGACCCTAACCCTAACTGTTTGAAGAGCATTTGATTCGATAATTTTCAGATGTTAGTACATTGTTCACTTTGTGTAGTTTGAAAGTGAGGTACCCCAGCTCCGTCATCTTTAACATGGTTAAACACATTATTTTGAGAATCATCAGATAATTTATGTAAAGAAGCACATTTCACGCAGTTGTTTGGCTGATCGATATCGATGTATTTGAGCGGCTGTTGTTTCCTTGAGAGTGAAATGTGAGCGTGAGGGGCTGACAGAGGAACTTTAGCCTTGTGGGAACGGGGGATTCCAGCTCCCTGAGACTGACGGCTGCAGCTCCGAGCGCCTTCTACACAAAGAACCACAGGAAGAAAATACCAGAGGACAAGGCTTCCAGTGCCCCGGGGCAGCTCCACCTCCACATATCTGAATCTACCGGAGCACACCTGAAGATAGACTACATGACGGGTGGATGGGTTCAAGTGGCCGCGTGGCTTTCCAATGTCTCATACCGATACTCACAATTAGGGATTTACTGTTTAAAGCAGGAAAAATGCAACTGTGTAAGACAATCCATCTCACTAGTGCCTCGCTCTCAAAACAGTTTGGTTCTGTCATCAGTTTTCACGCATGTATTTTCTGGCCTCTGTCTTACTGTATATGAAGATAAACATTCTTACTTGGAAAAGTGAAACAGAGACTATTCCCTCTTCAGCTTTCAGCCAGAAGAGAGAATTAGTAACTTACAGGGCTCTTCCTTACAAGTACGCAAAAGAATGTGTTATGTGGCCTGTGAGCCCGAAGGTCGTGGGTTCTCCACCGACTCCACTGATGTCTGCTGCCGTTGTGTCCTTGGGCAAGACACTTAACCCACTTTGCCTATAAGGAGCCCGGAAGTAATGTTTGCTGCTTGCCTCTACATGTATGTGTATATGTGTATGTGTATGCAACAAACTACAAAATATGTGTATTTAGGTCCCCAGTTTTAAATACTTTCTGCTTCATTTTATTACTGAATGAAAGTTTAAATGTGGACATACTCATCTCCATGTATTCAGGGGTCAGCCCTTCGAAAGGGGCCAGGGCGTAATCCAGGGTCCACTGTCGAGGTGCCCTCTCCTCCAGCTTCTCCTCCACCTTGTTACCTTTGTTCTTCAGTGTCCGTGCCAGCTTCTTCAGCTTCCTGAGTGTTAGATAGCATTTTCAAGAATCACTACAGGACAATACAACTCAACCATATTAAACAATGTAGTCTTTGTACAAAAATGTCTTGACAACATATACAAGTTAAACAAAACAGATGGAACAACACAGTGTATTGTAAACATTGCAGTGTATATGATCAGTGAGTGTGTGTCTTCATTGAATAACATGGGAAAGTTCTAATTTGATGAGCCAAAAACGCAAGTCTGCTGCGTACACCGTTTAACTGATACAAATTTGGCATCTAACTTTTGCTGCTACGTGTGTTGGGAGGATGTGGAACCAATTTTAGACAAATTGGCGAAACGACCAAGGCTGGTTTGTCACTAGTGCAAGGTGGAAATATAAGAGATTTTATGATTTATCCCGTGGGGGAAGTGTTTGTCATCTCCATGGAAACATAACATATTATTAAGTTTGTCATTTCCTGTTTGTCATGGGGCATGGCCATAATAGAAAAAACTTAATGCAAACATGACAAAATCTGTGCAATTTTTTTAGTCACACAAAAAAAATCTCCTAAAACATAATTTTTTGCCGGAACTGATCATTGGGCAGCATTTTAAAACTATTCATGCATGTTCAGGGGGACAAAATTAGGTTGAAAGAGCAGAAGAAAAAAAATTCTAAAGAGAAAACATTATAGGTTTCAATTGCACATGACAAGTGTTTGAGTTTACGCAAACATTGGTTTTGGTATTATCCCCATAATAAAAGAATTAGACCCTTATGCCAGTTTGGCGCTCAAGCCTAAAAAATAAATAAAACACCAGCTACCCAAAGTGGTTTAAATTAACCAAAAAAAAGGCACCATGCTTTGGTGAGAAAATAAACAGCTGCGCTCATTTTGTCCTCTTTTTAAGTATTTACAGAACATTCTCTTTATACTTGCTTAATCTATTGATCATTTGGGCATCATCTGAAGGGACAATACCATCTCCAATAAGCAAAGAGATAAAAAATAAATACATTTTACAGAGAAGAAATCTGAGTAGATCCATCTGTCCATCATTTTTATTGAAGATTTTAGTCCTTGATGCATCATGTAATCTTTAATTAACCACCTAGTGTTTTCAGAATGCAATGGGGTGAGTATGGTTCAGGTCCTTTTCTTCAATAGGCCCAATGACTCATCCGAGAGGAACTGAGCCTCCGTCGTATCTAAGCGACATTGTTTAGGTCCATTTTGTGGACCACGTGTAAACACATTAATCTTAGAGATCCTTAACACAAGATCAAGATAAAGCTAGTTTCCATCTGCAGCAGGTTGGTAAACAGTAAAAAGGCAAACAAGTACATGCACACACTGTACGATGCTATACAAATTATTTATCAAAGCTGACAGATGAAGTATTCCGACATAGTTTCATCTCTGGTGAATCTGCTGCGTTCATTTAAGAGGAAAGGTAGATAGCAATGTAACTCAATGGGAACAAAAGGAATTACACAGAAATGAGCTCTAAACTTGTAGAACGCTGCCTTTTGACAGTCACAGAGTTACCAGCAAAATGTCCGTCATCACTATGTTGAACTATAGCGTTTCAGAATAGTGTGATGTCACATGAAAGCAACCTATAGATTTGGTAAAGCACTCTTGTTTGGTGAATTCATCCAACATAAAACATCTCTACCCAAAACAGAATAAAACCCAAAACAGAATTCTGTGTACCTTCATGCCATTACCAAGTATTTTACTTCAAAAACATGTCAGATCAGTCAGTCAAATGCCGACACAGAGGATTACACTGTGTCATAAATGTGAACGGCTCTGAGTGGCTCCGGGGCACGCATGCTTGGGAGCACAGTGCGGACGGTATGAAGCTGGTATGAGGACATGTGTTGGAGCTCGTTGGGGCCTGGGGACAGAGCAAAACTGAGGAGATTCACCTCAGAGTCCAGGGTTAAACACGGCTCAAAGCTGCAGCTCCAGCACAGCCCCAAGCTGACCCCAGACCCCAGACCTATGGGGTCCAGGGGCCAAACCATGAATGAGTACAGGGCAGCTGTGAGAGCTATGTTACATGCAAGATACAAACAAGTATGTCAGCAGAGCTATGTGGGTTGTGTGGGAAAAACAAAGAAAAGACTAACAAATCAACAGCTTTTACTAACATCATGCCAAGTGGAAGAAAGTGTTTTGCCCCAAGGAAAAAACAAAACTTAATTTGAGTAAAATCAATAATGAAATACTCACGGGATGCCGATCTCAAAAATGTTGTTCTGAATGAGTTGTTTCCCCAACATGATTATGCTGAGCTGGAGGCACAACTCAATCAAGCAACCACCGGGGGCGCACTGTGGGAAAGAAAAACAGTTTAAGATAAAGTAGGGTAAATTTGAAGTGACATAAACAAAAGAAACCCACCTCTTCCATTCTATAATCATTAAAAACATAGACGTAACTTCCAGGTCGACCAGAAAACCTGCAGGATAAAGAGAACGCACAAAAAGTGTTACTAAAACGCACTACAATTTGTAACTCTGCTGTTTAGTGTTTTTAGCAGAACTGACCGGCCCTTGAAGAACGCGACATAGAAGATGGGAGCGTAGGCGTTCATGAACTTCAGAAGAAAGGCTTTGAGAATGAGACGCTCCTCGTAGTTTGTCTCCGTTTTGGGGATTTCTGAAAATATAAAGCATCAAAAATGGATGAGTTCGGCTCAGTAAACATATGGATTATATATAAAAGGGTAATATATGAATAATATAATGGAAATACAAAAGTTTACTGTTACACATGGATGCACGGGAAAACAAGTATGTGTATGTGCAACAAACATGTTTTACATACACATACTTGAGTAACTGTACACATTGGAGTGGCTATAGAGTGTAGACTTTTATCTTAAACATATCTTATTATCATTTATTTTTGTTTGATTTACCTCTTATTTTTGTTTTGTTTTTTTATTTCTTAAACAAAGGTTGTTTAAGGTGAAACGCAGTGAACCGTAGTCAAAACGTGTCAATATTGAGAAAAACACAATCATATAAAAAAACATATTAATATTGATACAATGTCAACAAAAACCTGCACATTCACATAAAACTGAAAACACATTTACCGTACGTATTTTTGATCACTAAAAACAGAACTGTGTGGTATCAAATATGTGAAATGATGAAGATAAAAAGATGAAATATTGCAATAAAGTTGTTGTAGTAAATGTATGAGTTTTGGGTGGACGCAATGTTAAACATGTGCATAATCGTTTGCATGTGAGTTCGTACTCTGGTGGTAAATTGTTGATGAATTTCAGTAGAATTTGAAAATAGTTTTTGGGTGTGAATTCTTTGGAAACAATTCTTAGTAACATCACTAAACCATGATTCCTTCACAGTGATGGAAGTAGGTTAAAGAAGAGGCTCTTCACACATGCAGCATCACTGAATTAAACATTTACAGTCTGTCAAACATGCACAGACTCTGGTCAGGACCAACACTGCGGCTAAAATATGACCAGAATATCTTGGGGAAAAACTGTTGGTCATTAGAAAACATTTAAATAATATATTATAGCCCATCCATTCCCAAAGTCAGTAACACCACGGCCCCCGTACAAATCTGACAGGTCTGCGCGGCCCCCCGAAGTACTAACCAAGAAGACAACGTTAAAAATAGGCTCTTCTCGTTATTTTTTTTGCGGGAAAAAACCTCTGCTACAAACATGTAAATGACGCACCCCATTTTGTAATACAAAAATGATTACAATTTGATTATTCAAGTTAAATCATGAACACAAATATTTTAATATTAAAAACTAAATATTATTAATTTAATATACAATAATAATTATAAAACTTTTTTTGTAGACCCCACTTTGGGAGACACTGTTATAGCCCACAACCCTATTTGAACAGTCGGATTTTAATGAGCCGACGTATGTAATAGCCTATGTAAATTTTGGGACCGTTTAAACACAATTATCTTTACTGTTTGTAATGTGAAATTTGCACATGACTCATTACACACAAAGTAAATAAACATGAAAGGAATATTTGGATAAAGGACTTTAGGCCATAATTATCAAGATAAAGGGTTAGGGTTAGGGATTAAGACAAACAAAGGCTCTACACATGTCACGTTGTAGGAAATTAGCCTATTACATATATTGATTGTAGGTAAAATTACACAAATTAAATCAACTTTTGAAAATCATTCTCTAAAATTGAAGTTTCACCAGCTTAAAAAAAAAAGCGCAAAAACTAATTTAGAATCAAATGCTTTCTACCCAGATCAGTCAGCCACACTGCGACTGCTCCATAGATCTCGTCCAGGACCAGGATGACCACCAGGTTTATCATGACCGCCGTGGCAGTGACGGTGACCCGCATGTTGGACTTGACCTCTGCGTCTGAGCTCATGGCCATCAGAGCCGACACGGTGATTCTGTAGATGATCACGCCAAAAACTGCAGAAAACGTCAGGCCAAACTGAGAGAGAACGGGAGAGAAATGAATTAGTAATCTGTGAACCACATCTGTCTGACGGCATCACAGTGGTCAGATTTTACATTTATATTTCAACAGACATTTATTTTGATGCGGAATTGGACCAAACAGAAACTTTAAAGCACTACTGCAATTTTGTTTATGCATTTTCCTGTAATGTTCCTTTTTGTTTTTATTCATTCATGCAGATCTGTGCAGCACCGTATCCCACAGCCAAAGTAGAGCATTTTACACACAATTCTATGGATTTCCTTGCTGTAGTTTATTACAGGGTTCAATTCTCAATAAAGTCCCTCATGATTAAATTGAAAAAACAAAAGCCTGGTAAAAGTACACAGCGCCAGAGTATTTTGTCTCACCATAAAGAGGATGGATGAAACATTGATGCAGTATCCAGGGAGACGATCTTTCCAGGTCAGTTTCTCCACAACACACTGAAAGACAAGATTATTAGAAAGGGGTTTTTTATCATTAAATGACCAGTTAATATAGTGATACTACAAATTATTGAGAACAACTTCGTCCAAATGAGAAAAATGTTTGAAAATCGTAGTATTGGCAAATATGAAGAGGGTTCAAGTCAGTGCTTTTCTAGACTTCTGAGGCTTTGAGGACCTCAAAACCAGGAGGACGTTGCCATCTAGTGGCCAAAGTGATACATTGCAGTGGTAATCTCTTATGTTCAAGTATGATTATCCAAAACTATTTTAATTCACAGGTTGTTTTCTTTGTTTTTTACATATGTTCTAACCATATACAGGTGAAACTCGGAATTTTTCAAAAGTCCATATATGTATATGATACAATGCTGATAATCATGGCTCACAGCCTGTTAAATCCCCCAATAAAATAATGATAATATTTGAAAAAATATCCTTAAAATTACAAATAAGGCTTGGCAAAAGTCATTATGCATGTCTGTATCTTATATTGATTTATTTTAAGTTTAGATGCATAAAACAACTTTTGAACAATGTATGGCTATGTTAAATATGGATCTAAGCTTTAGTAAAATAGATTAGAACCAGTTAAAGTAATTTACAGTACTTTCTTTTTCATTTAATCTTTCCTGTGTCATGGTAATTGTAAGACAAAGATGAATTGCGCTTTTATGCAAATATCTCTGCTGCATTGTCTATTATGTACCTAGAGTACTTTAGATTCAACACAGAACCTGCTTAACAAGAATTATGAACCATAAACACTTCCTCAGAGGTGGATGACATTAAGAGAACAGAAAAAACTGATGAGTACTCCAAAAGCCTTTCCACAGACGAATGAGCACTTGTTATATTGTTTGTTACAGCAGCACTACCAGGACTCTCGTTGCCATCCCCAGTCCCCCGGTCCCCCAGGGCCAGAGTGCTGTTGTGGTTCTCAAGCACATGGGTCTAATTAAAAGGACACGCAGACCTTCAGAATAAAGTATGTCTGTGTCAGAACAGGCTTCAGAGAGACGGGACAAACTGGGTCAGGAGGAGTTATATTTAAACTGATGTGTCCACTGAGGGAGCTGCCCGGCCCATCAGCCACTAACACATTCAACAGTATACAGTATACAGCTCAACGGAGATCCTACCATGTTAAGATTAAGATGAATATTAAGAGATCCTATATGCATCCCACAGGGGGAACATTTCCGTATTGCATCACCACCAGTTATAGAACAGTAGGAATGGGAAGCACACAGCACAAGGTAAACGAACACAGCACAGGGTAAGACAAATTAACACAGATCTATATAAACCATACGCTAAATAACTCCATGCTAAACTCTCTATGAAATAAAATGACATAAAATGAAATATCTAGCTTTAGCATAATAAGGAAGCAGTCTATAATAAGTCTATCTTATCTTATCTTAATCTGTAATAAAAATCAACATTTAAGTACAAAATCTCTGACTGAGGATGATAAAGAAGCAAGTATAAAGTATTGTTTATATTCTAATGCAGAAATACATAGTCGTATGTTTACATCTGTACATTTTAACAGCATGCGAAAGTGAAAGTGGTGACAATGTTAGTATTATAGCCTTAGCCATGAGCAGAATGTGTAGTTGTGTGTGTTTGTTGACAACAATGAGGATATACCAGATGTGACTTTGGGCATTTTAATAGTGAAATGCAAAATGAAAAAAAAAAAACTTGATGAATGCAAATTACCCATCAATCAGTGGGTCATGTGAGACCAATTAATGCCCAGTGTTATTGCTTTAACACTAAAAGGCATTTAATCACCATTTATTTGTATACTTCATGAGCTCCCTGAGGTGATTATGACTGACATTGAAGCGAGTTTAGCAATACAAAATAAAAGCACATCAGAAGTACTGTATATTTCTATATAAATATGGATGCAGGGAGGAAGGACCTGCGAAACCTTTCCTACATTAATGTATCATCATATTTGAAAGTTGACCGCTTCTTTATCAAAGCGTGTTTCTCTGAGTTAAAGAATTAAATGAGAAAATACCTCAAACTTATTTCCCATTTTAACTTGGTAATACAAAAATTAATTTTATTTTATACATAGTTCAAATGTTTATAATGTATTTGATGACACGCACATTTTTTCTTATACAATTCAATAATGTTGTCTTTCATTGTGTTGGAGATTTATAACTGTGCATCCTCATCCTAATATGTTAATATTCGTGTCATTAGTTTGGTCATCCTGGTTCTGTTTTAATCTTCAATAATAACTCCACATTGTAAAGTCAAGAGACAAAACGTGTATTTGTTTTTAATTTGAATTAAAGCTGGGATATCTAAGTTACATTGTCCCCACAAATCATATGTCCCTCCTCCAGCCTCCACTCGGCAACACGCAGCCTTTTCCTCTTCAATCTATATCACATTACAATAATGTAGGCTTTTGTTGTTTCAATGTAGGGCCTCCAGAAAGAAGAAATGTAGTGTGAAATAATATCAATTTATAAACATATGGGGAAACAAGTATGAAGGGTAAACAAAGCTTTCCACCCGTAACTCCCTATGCTACCACCAGAGGGAGGTGTGGAATTTTATTTTTATTTTTTTCATGCAAATGTAAAGATTGTAATTTCACTTAAGATAATTCCAAAATTATCTTATTTTATGGGCTATTTAAAAAAAGGAAAACATCATAGTATTACATGACACAGAAGGGACAGAGTTTGTGCCCCTTGTCTCATGCGTGCCAAATGTTCAGATTCTTTATTTCACCGTCGGACAAATAAAGAATCTCCTAATATTAATGTGGATGCGTCTAAAACAACCCAAGATGTATGTATCCTTAATGAGCTCAAACTACATTGTCTGATAAGTGTATGAGTTTTGACTTTGGTAAATATCTCCCTCTTTGTCTGCCTGCAGTGGTCGAAAGCCCCAAACATTACCCAATGAACGGCCTAGAAAATGCATTTACAATCTAAGTTTGGCACGGATTCTGTTTTTGCAGCTGTGCCTTCACCCTTGGCTTTGAACCGTGCCATTAAACTCCAATTAGAGCTAAAGTAATCACCTAATACTAGGGACTCCCGCATCCGCTCTCCATTTTGGGGACTAAATGCACAGGGCAAGGCCAGCCCAGAGTAAAAGTCCATGCACTATCACAACAGCTCTTGTGTGGAAGGGCTGTAAAGTAAAATTCCTTCTCATTCTCATGAACCCCTTTGGTTTTGTATGTCAAACAAGACCAAATATGAAGTGTGATACTTTTGCATCTGATACATGAATATCAACATGAACTTTATGTGTGCAGTTGATTGAAAGCCATATAGTCACTAAATAGGCGAAAATAATGAGGGAAAAGCATAGACTGTAAATATTAGCCACTGTTTACTGGTTTGTGATGGTGGCAGGGCTGATTCAATTATTCTTGAATTAATAATATCTTCAGCCTGAGATGCCTTTCCTTTGAGGATACAGAAATATGTGAGAATTAATTGCATCAAATCTCTAACCTGTGCCATAATTTGAAAATCTCGGGCAGGAGGTTGATGATTTAATGCGAAAACACAGGGTAAGAAAGGAGCCTGGCAAATTATCTCCACACAAATCCAACTATAACTGTCCGTTTGTTGTTTGGTTTTGTACGTTCCAACAACAGTAACTACAAAAACAAGTATATACCTTTCTTTTACTGTTTCTGTGAAATATTGAGCTGTTTATGAATGTTGCCCACTGCGGAACCAAACATTGTGTGTGTGTAGGTTGGAACAAGTTGTTTCTTTACTAAAATAACCCAGTCCCAGCGTAGTAATGTAAGGAGGAAGCATTTCCATTGTCGAGATCCAGGAAGTCTAAAAAGTAGTCATGTTCAGAAATAGTAGGCACAAGACAAAGTGAATTATGTAAATTATTAAGACTTTAATCACCCTCTCATTAATATAGAAAGAGATAGCAGAGATAGTACCGGAAATATGGAAAAAGAAAATGGCAAAGATTTGAACCATGCATTTGAATCTAAAGTTAGAAAAAGTAATCAGAGTGGGAATACCTGAGCAGTCGTGCGCAGTAGGATGGGACAGAGCGAGCAGAATTTAAGACGCGGCTTGCAGTGAGAATATAGGCAGGATAAAGAAGGACAAGTCAAAAGTATGCAGAGTTAGGAGGTAGGATGGAGAGTTACCGATTTGTCTGCAGACATGGCAGACAGCAGTTTCTGTCTCCACCTGTCCTTCCCTGTTACTGTCCCATCCTCCTGCTTCTCTGGCTGCAAGACATTATACGAAGGGTTCAACATGGGGAAGTTATATAGATAAATTGCATGATTGAAACCATGTGTGATAGTTTTAGAAAATAGACATGCAAACATTTGAGGGTCATTGTTAAAGTATTCCTTTTCAGACGTTAAGCACGATTCGTTTACTTTTGTGTGCGCTGGAAACGGCAGCGAGTCCTGTAGCTCTGAAACAGATATTGCTGCAGTACAGTGTTCATGATTTTGCACTGGTTCAGATGGAGCGGAGAGGATTCAAGGTTCAAAACAAGCAGATCAGCCCAAAATCCACTGGAGGAATGCTAACTTTTTGAAAAAATGCTAAAGAAGCATTTAGCATTTTACTTTGGACTAGAGCAGAGAAAATGGTCCAAACTAATAGTCTACTCCACCTCTGCTGCTGGGACTTAAAGTGCTGTTGCATTAGCTGTTTTAGAATGATCTATTTATTTGTTTTGTTTGTGTGGATGGATGTCTTTCTGGTGCTACTGGACACCTGAATTTCTCCAACAAGTTATAAATAAAGTATGTACTGCATCTATCTATTTCATTCATTCATACTCCAATACCAATCTTTAAGCGGCAGTCTGTGAACTATATTCACAATACTTTGTATAGAACCGTAGGGTGAGATGCTGCTGACGTCGTCGACCTCGCTGTCATGTGGTTTTAGCGAGGCGGTGCAGGTTCAAAACCAGTGCCACCTCCGTCCATGGAACCACTCTAGTCCAATCATTGGCGTACACAATTTATAAATTATAAAGTACATTTATAATTGGTACAAACATCTCCCTAAAGACACAAGAGCAGTGAGTGCATACAGAGATCAAAATAATATAAGGTAGGGTAATCATGGGAAGTCAGGTGCTCTTTGAGGATCCGTGGGAAAAAAATATACAAAGCAAAGGGGACAACTTTACAACTAAGGATTTTTAAGATAAGTCAGGTTGTCTCGAACCTTTACTATTTTCTTTCTATCTCCCTAAAGACCTTTAATGGACTACAGAACCATGAGCTATGATGCAAAATGCACCATTCACACAATTGTGTTTGGTTTGGATCTGGGCACTGAAGCCTCCCTCATGTTTTCAAGCTGCATCCAGGTAATTTTATCTTCATAATAATCCGGAAGTCAATCTGGGGAAATCTGAGACACTATAAATCTTGAATGTACTTTGTAAAAAGTAATGTCCAACTGCCATATATAGGGGCTTTAATATTACCTCATCAACAAGGTTTATTTGTTGAATCACAATTAAAAAATCTTCCTGAAATAACACAGAACCTCATGCCGTACTGGCCTCCTGTGGCCTTAGCTGCTCCCTCATCAAATTGGAAGACAATGCTGGGGGAAGGATCAGAGTCCTAATTTAGCACGTTTAGAATTGGAGTGATAATCCCAGGATGAGATTGAGGGTTGGCGTCAGTGATCTCCGTTCTATCAGAGTCCGCGAGGTCCAGGGGTGGCACTGAGCCTTCTGCTGTGAATGCTGTCCTGACCGATGACCTCATTCAGAACAATCCCCACAGAGAGATTATCAAACTAATATAATATTCAGAGACCCTTACTTTTCATCTACCTGAAATTGTAATACTTTCCCCAGATTTACACAGCAGATGGCAAACTGTGTTTGTCGTCAAGTTGATCATACCTCGTTCTTTTTCTTCTTTTTCCTTTGTTTCCGCTGCTGTTTCTGCAACACGATGTTTTCATATTTTGGCCGCGGTTGTTCCTGAGGAAGATATGACAAGCCTTTATTCAACCAGGAAACCATATTAAGAATTACAAAAGATATGTTTCTCAGGTTAAATGTAAGATGTAGTTTGATCTTGCTACTGTGCTGAAGAATGTGTGCTGCAACATTGGAATTTCCTCAATAACAGTTCTCTTATCTAATCTTATGTGTTCTTTAGAAATTAGCAGTTGAATTACAACCTTACACTGTATGCTCTTAGTTAAATAAAAAAGACCAAATATTAATATTGCTCATGTGAAATAATTAGCTCCTTTTTACCAATTTGAAAAGACCATGTCACCTTAATGTGTCTCAAAGTCCTGCAATGGTGTTATATGGCTCACTACTGAATGAGAAATGAATGTATACATCTTATACCTCGTCATCTTCCATCCCTGTTAGATCCCAGCTGAAGCTCAAACTAATCTGTCGTCTCTTCCAGTGCTCAAGGAACAGCACGGCTGCCAAACAAATACAATGAATTTATTATTCCTGAACATAAATTGTATGTTCATTTAAGGACATTAACTAAACTTTGGAGGGTGAACAAATTCAGTGACACTTGTTTTAAGATAAAAAACATGTATTTGCTAGAGTATGACAAGTAAAACTCAACTTGTATCAACCCACAGTATACATACTGTAATCACTTGTGATATTTTGCTTATTATTTTACACATTTTATCCTAGTTTTACCATATTTTTGATTGATGACGTCATACAAGAATACTGTTTTATTTAGTTGACTCCAACTTCTTCCTCCCTATTTTGCTGCTGTATCAGTTTGTTTTTTTCCACAAACTGCATTTATTGGTATGAAACTAGTATGTATGTTTTAAACAGGTATCGTTCCACCAGAAAAAGTCACATTAACTTTATTTCATTTAGCTGTTTTACAAACAAATTAGAAACTGGCACTGGGTTTCATTAAACCGGCCAGTGAATGAGCAGAGGTGGGACAACTCAGTTTTGCGCCCATTGAAAACCATGTAAGTCGTGTCTGTTTTGGATTCAAAAGGCTCTCATCCTGTGCGGTGTACGTTTGTTGTAACAGTCTTAATCGGGAGGGGGACACTCAATTCTGAGGGAATAGTCGTCATATGAATTCTTAGGGAATTGAGTGAAAAATATTTCTCAAAAGAGTCTTGATTTCGGGCATTTTTGGAGAAATTGCTGCGTTTTCTATTGGGTGGCCTGCAGGGGGCGCTTATCTGGAGACCACAGTTGGAGCACGAAAGAAACTCTTGTCTTTCTCTCTATTTGCGCGGTGGCTACAAGCGTACACAAAGATGGCATTTTGACAGCGCTTCTTCTTCTACTATAGCTCCGTGTATAAACCCGGCAGACTGCACCGCCAGGGTACATCACATCCTGTCCTACGTTTGTTATTCGCGCCACTGCCCTGACGTCATATGAAACCCAAGAATAGGGCTCTTTCTAAGTTTTATAATAAAACAACATTACATTTAGTAGTTTTGAAAAAATAAGTGATGTATCCCAGCTTGAAAAATATAAACAAGAGTAGATTTGCAGCTTCAGCTCACCCCACAGCGACATGAAGATGGCAAAGAAGACTGTGGCCGGATTATCGAACAGGTGGGAGGCTCTGGCGGTCCCACATGCGGTGCTCAGTCTCCAGTAGTCGCACGCTCCGTCACACAGAGGACACATGGTAAAGTTCAGACGCTCGTCACACATCTCCAAACTGCAACATAACCAAGGTTATATTGACCTTACACACTCATAATCTATATTGTTTAGAGCTTATGAATACAGGAATGGACAGTGCTAACCCTCATTGGGAACTCTACACTGGCAAAGTACATTAGAAAACACCTCTACCTTTGGTAATAGTCCTAGTCTTTATCCTTTGATAAAGTCTTTGTGATTCTAGTCCCATAAAAACTAATCTTTCAGATGGCAGATTTGTGCCCATGGAGCCTGTTGAGTTAACTCTGGCCCTCCTTATTCGAAGTACACAGCATCTACACGAACAATGTAGTTCTAACGCATGATCAGTAGGGGGCAGTTGAACTTTACAACACGACACACGCGACCCCCGGCAGTAGAACCATTTCCTCAACAACAGCCTCTTAGGCCACAGCAAAGACATGAAAGAATGCACCAACATCATTCTGCATTTAACAGAAGCAGCAAAATGGAAACTGAAACTACAGCGTTGCGTGGTTTCGTTTGGACAAACGAAGGAGTAGAATTCTCCTCTGTGTAGCGCTCAAAGCACACGTAGCGTAGCATTAGTTGATCTGCCGCCACTGTTGTTTACAACAGGCCCTCCTGAGCAGCGTATCTGAGGTGTTCCACTCTGGAGGCTATTTCTCAACGTTTACATTTTCACCTGAAACACCGTCTTTATGTAAGCGAAAGGCCAAACCAGGGCTGGACTGGGACAAAAAAACGGCCCGGGCATTTTTTCCTTCTTACCGGCCCAGGCATGTTTTTGTTTTTTACAGTTTGTTTATACCAGGGATCGGCAACTCAAAAGGTTCAAAGAGCCATATTTGACAAAAAATACTAAAAACATTTGTCTGGAGCCGCAAAAAAATAACAGCCTTGTATAAAGCTTATATGAAGGTTACACAATGTAGCTACATTAGCTACATTAGCCTATTATCTAAATGACCAAGTAAAGGCTACAAATGATTAGCATTCATGATTGTCAAATGTGTGTTTTCACTGCAGCGTGTCCTGGAGAGAATGACGCACCACGTGATGACTCTGCTTTAACTTTGACTTCCATTTTTTTGCCTTCATGCAACTGTAGAAATACAGTAAATAAATCTGCTTTTTGGCTCAAAGGTCACACACCTGCACTGTCCGCTCATATCGATTACGTCACAGGCTGAAGTTTGCTGGAGCTGAATGTCCTTCATGGCCTTTTCTTTCACAGTCTTTGCGGAGGTTTTTGAAGTCTGAAAAAGGTGCTCCGGATTTTGTATGAAAGAATCCTTCACGTAATCCCTGTGAACGGTATTTAGTGCTTCATTGTTCCTCGTGTTGCAACAAAACTTCCCATTACATCGCAAACATGAAGCAGTCCTTCCTCATTGACTGAAAGCAAATGTTCAGTCTTGTTCTTAGTCCAGTCTTATTATCGACTCGTTCTCTTTTTATCTTTGGGATCCGTGCGCACACGCCGGTTTGTTTACAGCAGCGGCCGTCTGCCGCGCCACAGGATATGACTCACTACGTTGACAGAAATGTTGAAATTGAATATTACTTATACACATTTTTACAGCATTGAAATACGTTAGGAATGTTTTTCCTCCTACAGAAACCGCATTCAAATTAGGAATAAAATATAGCCCTCCCACTCCATTTTCAGACATTTTTGAAAAGGCTCCAGGAGCCACTGGAGGAGCACTAAAGGTTGCCGACCCCTGGTTTATACAGTATATGGAAGCATACTGTAGAGGATCAGGATGTCTACAGTTTCAACAAAAAAATAAAGTGCAATAGTCTACATTACAAGAGAGTAATAAACATGTCTCAGAGTGAGGGAGGTGGACACAGACAACACTATTGTTTGTTACAGGGATGAGAATTGGTCAAAAAAGTCTGAAATGCATAATGTCAGCCATTGGCTGGCTCTAAATCTGTTTAATTTTTTCACAACATTTTACTTTTGGGCTCAAACATGAACTTTTAATGCAATGGGAAATTTAGGCACCCGAGCTTTAATTTAGTCGCACTTCGAGAGGAGAGGGGAGACGCGGACTGTTTCCTGCAGCGGTGTATTTATTGGGTGCACAAATTACGCAAAGACACGCATGGTCCTGTGCACGTTTATGGTCTTGGGTATATGGTCACGTTGCGGCTACGCGCTCACCGTGTTGTGTTGTAAGCGGCTCCCGGTGAGCGGTTCCCGCGTCCAGCTCAGAGCCGCTGGATGCTGGAACACTGCGGCCGCTGAGGTGGTGGAATCCCGTTCGAGTACATACAGCAGGTGCCCGCGGACACGCGCGCCCCCTCGAACAGTTCTCAACGGATTTACACTTTTCACAAACATCTTTTTTGTATGAGGCAAACAGACCGGCCCAAATATGGGCATCGGCCCTTCTGGCATTGCCCGGTACGCCCGATGGCCAGTCCAGCCCTGGGCCAAACCAATACCCAACTCTAAAATGTTACTGTTGCATCACCACCTCTCTTTGGCTTCTTCCACAATAATGCAGTAATGAAGTCCACTCCTTCTAAACATTCTATGGTTTATGTAGACATGGCACGAGTGACACCTAAACCTGCACTTTAGTGTAAAAACGACCTTCTTTTTTTGTGTGCAAAATGTTATTACACTTTTGTTGTATTATTATTAGAAATGAATTGATTTCACCACCAACCAACAGCCATTCTGTATTCCTCCTACACAAACAATGCAAGATGTACAGGCAAGTGCAAAAAAAATGCTTCTACGGCTGTGCCATTTTTGTATACATGAAATATAGAAATGAGAGTATTTGTTTCAAAACGGTGATAGGAAAGGTTAATATGATGGTATTTTATAATAATACATAAACAATACCAATATGTAATTTAGTCTCTGAACACTAAATCTGGCACTGCTCATTCTTAATCTTGAATCATGTGTTGACCATCATTAGAGCATTAAACTCATCTGACTTGTGCACAAACAGAGTTGACTTGTTTTCCCTAAAGAAGAACATTTGATAATTTTTCATTGTGAATAGCATTGAACATGTAATGACAAAAGAAGTGCCTGCCTTTGACCTCATTCATAAGCCGTGTGGGCTGAAACCCAATGACTCCTGACACATGCACCCACTCACAGCTGTAATGATAAAGGAACGTTCAATGGTAGTCCTTTTGTAGTCTAAGAGAATGTATTACTGTAATATTTAAGGGATGTAGAAAGTAGAAGTTGAATTCATATCATGTACTGTATCATTCTGTTCCTTTATGCAACAGATTGAAAAACGCATTGAAAATGAGTTGTTACAAGTCTGAAACTGGAACTGGAAAGAAAAGCCACAGCTCAATAAATATAGCAACACTAGTAAAAGTGGTGGTCAAGCGATTACATTTTTTAGCATTACCTAATTTTTTTTCCTATAGATGATTGTATGTATCATCGATATACAGTGCCTTGTGAAAGTATTCGGCCCCCTTGAACCTTTCAAAATTTCGCCACATTTCAGGCTTCAAACATAAAGATATAAAAAAAGACTGGGACGGAGATTTATCTTCCAACAGGACAATGATCCAAACCATAAAGCCAAATCTACAATGGAATGGTTCACAAATAGACGTATCCAGGTGTTAGAATGGCCAAGTCAAAGTCCAGACCTGAATCCAATCGAGAATCTGTGGAAAGAGCTGAAGACTGCTGTTCACAAACGCTCTCCATCCAACCTCACTGAGCTCGAGCTGTTTTGCAAGGAAGAATGGGCAAGAATTCCAGTCTCTCGATGTGCAAAACTGATAGAGACATACCCCAAGCGACTTGCAGCTGTAATTGCAGCAAAAGGTGGCGCTACAAAGTATTAGCGCAAGGGGGCCGAATAATATTGCACGCCCCACTTTTCAGTTTTTTATTTGTAAAAAAAGTTTAAATTATCCAATAAATTTCCACTTCATGATTGTGTCCCACTTGTTGTTGATTCTTGACAAAAAATTTAAATTTTATATCTTTATGTTTGAAGCCTGAAATGTGGCGAAATGTTGAAAGGTTCAAGGGGGCCGAATACTTTCGCAAGGCACTGTATATATATTTATGTACATACCTTTCATAAGTTTAATTTTCTGATAAATCCCAACTTTGACAGAAAATGTGTCAAAGCACAGTTGTTTTGGAGCTCAGTAAATATCAAAAAGTATTGATTCAGCTAAATACTGTATGTGGTACACCATGTAAAGAGTGGACGTAGTTTGACAGAAGAGAGCAGGAGGCTGTAACATCTAAACCCTTGATTTACAAACTTCATAAGGTTTATAGCGCCACAATCATCAATGCCTTGAAGAATAATTACAGTAGAAGCATTGACTCATACCTGGGGATGTTTGTGTCCAGTGTGGCCACTCCGTATCCAAACACGATGATTCCCACAATGGAGGCTGGTATCAACAGCTGAGTGTAGACGCCAAGCCACGCAAAGTACAGGCCAATCTTCTCCCCGAAATACTTCCTGAAATACAAATATACTGTAATTTAACATCAATCTCGTATTGGTTATTCTCAGCAGAGTGCAGAATTACTATATAGCAGGGTAGTTTTTTAATTCACTTAATAATTTTTTTTTACCCAATTCATGAATTAGTCCTACACACCTGACCAGATCGATAGGTTGGTACTTGTAGAAGGCAGAGTAGCGGGCCCACTCTTCATGCAGGACCTGAGGCCAAAAACAAGAGTTTTAGTAGGTGGACTTTACCAGTTTAACCTGACGCACAGAAGCTGGTCTGGAGCCAGATCACAAAAAGCACAAGAAACACACTGAAAAACAGATATGATACAGCTAACTTTTTTATCATTCTTGAATATTTATATGGACTTTGTGATAACATGTTATGTGCTTTTTGGTATAACAATAACCTCTGATCAAGTAGAGTTTGATATGGTTTTACACCAATCAAAAGGCATCTTGTGAAGAGAATTGGAAAAAGAAAACCAAGCTGAATATTATAGGAAGTTAAGAAGTTCCATTATGAAAACTCAAATCTGTGTTTCCAACATGATTCCATGGGGCTGAGTCTATAGTCGTTCAGTCGTTTAATTGGTCAATAGTTTTCTATGAAGAAGTATCAAAGTATTTCATGCAAAAAATAAGGACTTATATGTAAGAGCAAACATGGGAGGACATGAAGCCATTTGTTTTTTAGGGCAGATGAATTCCATAGTTTTAATCACAGAATGTTTTTAGTCTAGAAATGTCGACTGCCGCCCTAATCCAAATAAATATTATAAAGCACAATCTATATGCTATTTTTCTGACTCATAATGTTACTTGACATCTTCATAATCAGAGGTAAATTATAAACCTTAAACAATGCAAAACTGGAATGAGTTTGTTACATTTGAAGCAAGTATTATAATAATTCAGAATATTTTTTTTTCCTAAGATACAATGCCAATCTTCTCTAGGCCCTTAAATCACCACCAAAAAAATCCATTGGCACAATATTTACACACAAAGATAAACAAAGCTGTGTATTTGTCATCATTCCCAGAGCTACACATTTTTGCATCACTGACACTGGCCAAAACCAGAGAATTATGAGAAAATAAGATTTAAAAAATCCATCTTGCTCTACTTTTGAGTACTTTCAAACCACAATGTACAGTATCAGAATCATCCACTAACTTGGTTCTATCACTAGTTTTCACATGAAAGTATTTTCGGCCTCTGTCCCATTTTTTAGATCTGCTTTGTCAGACGGCTAAGGGAAAAAGAGAGGACCACCCTCACTCAACCAATCAGCTCTCAGCCCAAAGCATAATAAAGTTGCTCATGAGGCACTTTCTTAGTAAGTATGCAAAAGATGTCATGTTTTTTCTAAGATTACAAGACTCAATCTCTTGGGACCAGAATAATGTTTTAATATGATTTTTGTTACTAACTGACTTTGAGAAATGTTCAAATGTGAGCGGTGAGCTCGCTCTTTTTGCCCCCTCCCCCTCAGCCTGGGCTCACATGCTACATGCTTTGCTATTTCAAGATTTCAAGATTTTAAGATTTCAAGATTTTTATTTGTCAAACCAAGTGAATGGTTTGAAATTATATTTCTCTCATCCTTGATTGTGGAGCGGGGGGTGGGGGAAGAGGGGTTGGAGGGAGGGCAGGGAGTTCAGCTTCCTGATGGCCTTGTGAATGAAACTGTTTTTAAGTCGACTGGAACTGTTCCGTAAATTCTGCAGTCTCCTCCCTGAAGGCATTACCCTGAAGAGCCTGTGTGATGGGTGCGTAGGGTCCCTGGTGATTCTGACGGCTTTGCGGGTGAGACGATTGGATGCTATGTATACGGAGCTCGCGTCTCACACAGTGGGGGCGGGTCCCAGCTCAAAAGTGGCCAAAATGACGTGCGCTGACATGCTTGCAATACCACCCCGTGTCGATGGGGGTGGACCCGGAATAAGAATTAGCCAATGCTAACATATAGCATTAGCTAACCTCTCGAAAACACCTTTACAGGATGGTCCAACAGTTGACTCTTGGCCCAAAGCTCCGTTCCACATGTGTGTCAATGCTGAGGGGGGTGAATTTTTTTGGACCACTCTAGTTTTTGGACCACTCTAGTTTACTCGCTGTGAATTTTAAGTTACTTGTGTAAATGAATGGGGCTCGCACCGGATGACGCATGCGCAGATGCGTTTTTTCACATTTTCCAGCCCCTGCGGCCATTTTGAATCACTCCATGAGAGCCCAATTTTTGGCCCATTAGTTAGAACAGCGGAAATAGGCGTGACTATGTCTATTAATATATACAGTCTATGGTCTCACAATATGGATCGCACGTGGATGGCGTGACCATAGAATGATAGAACCGGAAAGCGCGGAGGAACGAGACTTTCTTTTGGATGGATGTTTCGCTGTGTAAGCAGAAACCGGCAACGAAGACACGGGAAGCTTCAGGTTAGCCTCAACTGCTTGTTTACCTTAGCTCAAAACACATTCTCTTCCTTGTTGCATCCAAACTCGATCTAAAATAAAATGACACGCCAGCACAAATCTGCGCTACTTTTTCTTCAAAAGGACTGCATGGATATGTTTTGAATTTTTGTAAGGAATAGAAAAATAAAGTCAGGTAAAGCAGCTTTAAGATATACACCCCAGCTTTAAAGCATATTCCGCATTTTAGTATGTGAATCCTTGCACTTCCCGACACAACAGTAAAACCTCTGGAGAACCTATTTTGCAAGTCAAAGCGACACTTTGTAGAGGTAGTTCAGACCCCTGTGCAGATCTGACAGCACAGCAGTCATAACGCTGTGTATGTGATTGTGAGCGGTGACTCATGTTGTGATTACGCCCTCAGATGACAGCGAGGAGGAGGAGGAAACACACATCAAACCATGTCCCTTTAAGAGTCGCCAAACTGACACATCCCAGCCTTCTAAACAACTGCACAGACACACACACACACACACACACACACACACACACACACACACACACACACACACACACACACACACTCTTAAGGTTAGCTTTGAAGAGTAATTATAAGAGCAGACATGGAGAGGAATTGTGAAGTTTTGTGCTAATCATAGTCTGTATATTAGGAGTGGACTGATCGAGTGCTGACGTCACCCATAGTGTTAGCCTTAGCCAAATGTATGCAAATGTTTTTGGCAGCAACATTAAGTTTGCATACATTTGGCTAAGGCTAACACTATGGTGACGTCACACTCAGAAAGGTCCCGTTCCGACCGGGATTCGAACCCAGGACCTGTTATCCACTCACTGCCACTGCCGGTAACAGCTGAGTTATCAAGCCCCAATCTAGCTATGCGTCCGTGGTTAGGGCTCATATCTGGATTTACCAAGACAATGTCACAATATAAACACCATGATTGACAAGAGCGCTAAACTATGGAAACTGAGCTTGAGGAGTCAACTTTAAATCTAAGTCAATGGGAGCCAGAGTGAGTAGGAGCAAAACTTTGTCCATGAGCACTTCCTTTTTGGGCTTCATTGAGCTAGGGGGTGAGCATTGTCCATCTATAACAGTCCATGGTGCAGATGCAGCAAATCAAACAACAGAATCCTTGGCCGATAGGAAAAAGTAGAAAAATCTCCACAAACTAAAGTGAGTAATCTTCAATTGTGTAGCACATTTCACGGACCAAGGTCACACATGGTGCCTTACAATTCTCTTTTTGTCTGTGCCCATTTACTCCATTGGACACACCATTCAGAGAAAGGGGAAACTTACACAGACATGGGGAGAACATGCAAACACTACACAGAAAGGCCCGTCCCCTGGAGTGGAGTCAAACCCAGAGCCTTCTACGGCGACATGGCTTCCCCCAGACATTTCCCTACATTTTTCGTACACACTTTTTCTTTTATTTATTTCTGTTGTTGGTTTTACGTTATTGGAGCTCTTACAACATTTCAGGGCTCTATCTTTTATTTAAGGTGGATTGAAAAGTAAATGAACCTGTCTGTCGTTCCTCTCTTCATGATCACCCACAATCCGGAAATCGCCCTGGATTCCAACAAAAAGGCAAATTGTACATGAGTAAGATGCCATAAAGAGTTAAATATACATAGGAAATAATAAATAACTTACGTCATGAAGCGGGAAGGCAGCTTCATACACGCCTTTAGCAATCAGAGAACTGATGCCTGTGGACAGAAAGTAGAGTCAAAACTGTTTCTGTACATCTGGAATGTTTCTGGAATCCGTACTTCTGGAATAAGTTTGAATCCGTACTTCTGTTCACGAATGCAGCAACTGCAGGAATACTGTCGTCCTATACTTTAAGCCTGTTGTTTACAATTGTTATTTTTGGGCACTTGTCCTTTCACCCAGATGGGAGCGGGGTCGCCGAACAGGAGGCACATGCCAGACCTATTGTACATATTTTTAGTAGTAGGGGAAACCGGAGTACCCGGAGGAAACCGGAGTACCCGGAGGAAACCGGAGTACCCGGAGGAAACCTACGCAAACACGGGGAGAACATGCAAACTCCACTCAGAAAGGCCCTGGTCCGACCGGGATTCAAACCCAGGACCTTCTTGCTGAGAGACGAGAGTGCTATCCACTCAGCCACCGTGCCGCCCAGAAGGTGGGTTCAAGCCCACCATAAGACCTACTTCATGACTCCCACTGATGACTGCTGTCGTTGTGTCCTTGGGAAAGACACTTAACACCACTTTGCCTGAAGCCCCCGCTGAATAATCAAACCTCCTGTGGACTCACCACCTGCAGGAGGAACAGTGAGGGGCTGGTGCAGCTCTGACTGCCACCCCCCCAACCCAGAAATGGATTACGGGGAAGAAAATGGATGGATGGTTGGGTGAAACAACACTGAACTAGATTGTTCCTGTCCTATTTACATACTAAAAACCCTTTACTTCTGAAAAATGAGCAGTACAATCTGTGACATTCATGGAAAATATGATAACATTTTGTCTAATAATATATTGATTCTAGGTCTATATAAAAAGTGCATACTGTAGGTTAATCACAACAAAACCATTATTGCACGTAGGATTTAACATGCTGAGAAAAGGTTTTGACTTGAGTCACTTTATATGTATATAAAGACTCCAGAATTAAATTAGATTATGTTTAATCAAATAACCCAATGTCCAACAAGTCATCTCTATGAAGATATTCTCCAGGGACATCACTTGAACTTTGTTTTGGTCAAATGTATACAAAATGCGCTGACCTAATCTATAAATCATAAGAATAAATGTCAAACTAATGGATTTTCTTTGTGTTTTTTTTTTCTAAACTCAGTCCTAAATGATGTTGAAGGATGAATTGCGTTTTCTGCAATAGATTGATAGATCCTGACAACATAGATGCAGCCTCTCTTTTGCCCCATTTATAAAACCACAAAGACAAACTAACTGATCTATTAAAACCACTCGCTCAAGGACTGTTCTCTCTGCCGCCTAGAAACAACCTCAACTCCCAGAAGGCCAAGCTTCAATCTGCGACTGGCCCAGGAAGTGTGACCCACTTGTGGAGGGTCCTGGAGGATCTGCTTCAGTCCAAATGTTGAAAATAGAGGTCATGAGTTATGCAGCAATGTTCTATCCCAGCGGCCATGCCAGAACCCCGGGCAGTGCCTTCTGCCGCTCACAGGAGGCGCACAAAGGCACAAAGGACACAAAACCTTATTTGATATAGATATGAGGGCTGTGGGTCATGAAGTGTTTGCAATCTGCATAGATGAAATAGATGAATATCTACGCAAGGGTATAAACAAGGGAATTCAAGAGTTCAAGTTGAGCTGCCAACTTCAATTTTGGTCTTTGAGGTAGTACTTGACCTGCACCTAGAACAGGCAGTTGCAGTACATGTGGGCTAGAAGAAATTACCTTTAAGGATGGTTTCATTGAGCCTTGATCTCAATACACGCTTTCGATCAGGCTTTAGGATTAGGCAGCCTTGCAACTTTGAGCCCTGGGACCAAACCAGGCCCCCGAACGACCTGATCTCGCCCTCAATCCTTGTTCACCGCAAAAAGTGGTCAAATTTTCAAGAAGTTTTTGGTACAAGTACATGTATACCCCCTCCACAGGAATGTTAAAGTCTCTCAAAGTCACTATTAATTTCTACTCCACACTTGTGAAAGAAGCGAGAGGCCAGTCCATGCCATCGGAACTCTGCCCACAACCATCAACGCCCACTCACCACGTTCAAACCGGGGCATGTTTTGGGTGATGGAGGAAACCGGAGCACCTGGAGGAAACCCACCCAGACACAGGGAGAACGATGCAAACTCTGTACAGTTAGAGCCAGGGTGCAGGATCGAACCCACAACTGTCTCCATGTGAGATATGTGAGTGTTCCTTAAAGCAGAAACCAGGATGGACTGTATAAAGTGGTTTTATGGGAGTAAAGGATTCCTTCTTTTTAGACTTAAAGTAGTATGATTGAAGAATAAACGTGACCATATATTTGTGAAGCTGTTAAGTTCACATGCAATCAGAATATGTAGCAGAAACAACACAGTTTTAGATTTTTACAGCCAACAATTGTAAGAACACCATGCATATAAATGGCTCTTCCAACCTTAAAATGTTATTATTCAACCGATTCTACTGTCATTTATTCTTATTCATCCAACAAGCTGATACATGACTCCCAGCACTGCCCACTCCACTGCACTCTCGATCATTGACAGAGACAAATATGACCATAAATCAAATCCATAAGAACAAATTAGCAAACGCTGCGCGACAAGTCTACTAGTAGTAGAGTTGTAAAACAGCTCCAGTACATTTAAAACACTGCAGCTCAAGTGTCTGACCAGAACCAGGAAGTATGATCACATTAGTCCAGTCCTCAGGTCTTTGCACTGGATTCCTGTGGCTCAGAGAATAGACTTTAAAACAGCTCTGCTTGTTACAAGTCTCTCCATGGCCTGACATGTTAGTCCCATATGAACCAGCCTGGACTGTGAAGAGCACAGGGACTGGACTCCTGTTAGTGCCCAGAGTCAGAACTAAACATGGGGAGGCTGCATTTCAGATTCATGCAGCTAAAATATGCAACAGTCATCCTGAAAATGTGAAACAGGCTTCTTGACAATATTTAAATCCAGGATAAAAATAAACTTTCTAAACTAATTATAATGTACTGTGATTATTTATGATTTTACTGCCTTGTTATTTCTATCTTGTTTTGTTAAGCACTTTGCCTTATGTATGAACTGTGCTATACGAATAAACTTGCCTTGCCTAGTAGTCCACAAGCAGCAGAGCATGGTGCCTGATATCCTGAGTCCTCTATCACACTACAGTATGCATTGTTATCAAATTGTATACAAGGTTAGGCTAAAGAATTGCAATTTCTCTCTCAGAGAAAGTTCAGACTGGGCCACCATGGGAAATAACAATGCAAATTCACGGCAGATTGTACAGGTGTAATGAACGAGTAAGCAAGGAAGCGATGTGCCACTATTCAGCCCGGGGCAGTTAAGTTGTTTCCAGAGGCGTGTGTGTTGTAGGATTATCATGTTTTAATGAGAGGGGAGTTTCACCACAAACAGGCAGGAAACCCCAAGCGGGGGCCTCTGCAGGTGTAACGGTGCTTGTAAACTCAACTCTGCATTAATGTGAGTGGGAGAGATATTGGCTTGTATTGATGTGTATTTTCTTACCTATAGTCTGGCAGGTTCGCACACACACCGTTCTTCTAAGGATCTCGTACACCTGAAAACGGAAGTAACAGATTAGAAATAAAAATGAGTGTAAGTCTGTGTAAATGGACTAAAGAATGGGAGGAAATGTCATAGACTGTAGATGGAGTGGACAAGCTCAGTGCTGACGTCACCCACAATGTTGCTGAAGAAGCAGATTAGAACTTTATTGAACAAGCTATTTGAGCAGGAATGTCGAGCCAAATGTGTGCAAATTTGTAGGTCGCAACAGCTGAGCAACCAAGAGCCAATCAGGAGCAAAACCTGATTGGTCAGGTGTTGGAGCTCATGAATAATCATAAAATCTTTAGCCCAAAATGTGTAAGACAAACGTTACAGAGGTGGAGGTGTTTACTTTCCAATGAAAGTGAATGGGAGCCAGCGTGAACATGAGCACTTCCCTACTGGGCTTCATTGAGATATGAATTCATGGTTCATGGTTTAAGCATTGTCCGTCTATGTACAGTCTATGGGAACAGAAAACGTCTTACTATTCGGCCTCTTGTGGAATTGTCAAAAAACGTGTCTCTGGATGTGATGTTGTATCTGGAAAGACAAAAAAGAAGTCTTTGTAAAACTTACCCAACTTATGGGAAAACGTCTAAAAACATTCTGCTTGATTTTGTTATTTTTGGTATTGGTTAAAGCTGGGGTACCTAATTTTTGTTGGTTGAACCAAAAGATCGAGTCTTGTAAAAGTAAAATAGTGTGAACAAATATGACCATAACAGGCTGTCTTTGTCTTATATAAAACATATTTTGGGTTCTTCCAAGTGAGATCCCTGTGAGTCACTGGATGACGCTTTGAGCTGAGAACTGATTGGCTGAGTGAGGATGGTCCTTTTTTTACTTTTCTCTTTGAAAAATCTGATCTAATAATGGACCAGAGACTGTGAAAACTAGTGATATAATGATTTGTTAGAAAGTTACGTACCCCAGCTTTAATGTGTATTTGCTGTGCCTTTTTAAAAACAGTAAAATATAAAGTGACTTTGTTGGATCTTACAGGTGCAGTTTGTCTCTGGAGAAGCAGTGGGACAGGAGCTTGGTCCGGCCTTGGTCCGGTTGTGGGAGTTTGGGTTGAAATGGATAGTTAAGTTTCCTCCACAAGGTGCTCATACTGGTGCTGAAGCCACTTTCAACTTTCAGTTCATAGCTCTGAGGAAAACAATGCCACAATAAAACACTCTTAAAGAAACCCAACTGATCAGAAATGACTTGATCATTTGAATAGTTATGCACCAACAGTGAACTGAGTTTAAATGTTGGTAGTTTTTTTTGTATTAGTTGATTTCCACTTCAAAACTCAATAATCTGTAGGTTTGCTTGAAATCCCACCGATTGAGATATTGAAACATAAACAACATGTAAAAAATATTATTCTTACTGTTTTTGTTGGAACTTTAATTTTGAGGAACTCCGCTTCCCTGCACAGCACTGGCCATGGAGCATGGAGCCGAGTGAAGCTGGGTCCATGAGGTTTGGCCTAAAACACACAAAAGAACACAATTGTTTACATGCTTGAATATTATTTGGGTATTTTATAACACATTATCAAGTTAAGTCTTATTATAGGCAGCATAGTCATAGCAATAAGGTCATCCTGTTTTGACGGCCATACACCGATTCAGATTCAGTTTGCTTCCCGTGCCATTTCCATTAAAACTACACTAAAAATGTATCCCAGTGTGCACCACACAAGTAAATAAATAAAACAGTAATTGTTTCAATATTTAAAAAAAAATGCTTCTGGTCTGCAAATAATATTGTTACAACCCCACCATTGATTGAGGCCCACTGAGACACGTTGTTGAGCAGTTTGCATATTAAAAATGAATGGCACTACTGTTAAATTTCTCTGCAGCACAGCCCAGAGCAGAATTATTCACAGCTCCACAGTCTGTCTCCTGAAAGAAAGTAATAAAGGGTGTTAATTTTGATTTGAACATATGTAATTCATTACCTAATACAGTATAAAGCTTCTAATTCAGTCATTCTTGGAGCTTTATGTTAATGCTACTATTGCTAACTTTAATTACCATAATACTTGTGGAAAAGCAACTGGAAAGGACATAATCTCCAACAGAAAACAGAAAAAAATGAAAACAAGCGTGAACAATAAGGCGCTAACAATTCATGGATTATTTGCACGACAGTAAGTCATTTAGAAGATGATCAAACACAAAACGTATGTAGTTTGATTTAATGCAATTTTCTCCTAATATATTTTTTTAGTATGTGTATGTGTGTGTGTGTGTGTGTGTATGGGTGTGTGTGCCCGCGCGTGTGTGTGTGTGTGTGTGTGTGTGTGCGTGTGTGTGTGTGTGTAGATTGATCCTATTTAGTAAGGTTTTGAAAAGTATGAAAAATATGAATGCGATTATTTACAGTTTAACCTCTGCACATTTCTTTGTTATGTGAATCGTAAGAAATCTTCCATAAAAACATATAGACCAATACTTTTAGAATAGACTGGAAGGACAACTTATTACGGTATAGTTCATCAAAGTTGTCACATTGGTCCACCTTCTTAAAGTGAAAATCAGTGAAAGTTACGTTTGAAGTTGGAAAGAAAGAAAGTTTTGTCCAGTGAGACATGTTCATCCCGCTTCTTGTTTGGATGAAGCTAATTTAAATCCACTCTGTTGGTCTAACTATTCTCTTCCAGAAGATCGTACAAGAGGGACTATTCTACAAGTTGATTATTTTGTTGTTGTTTTTTTTGCACCTAGAGTTGTCGCGTTCCTCTGAAGTTTTACACAGTTTTACACCGCGCTAGCAGCAGAAACATCTGGTAAGACTCTAGTAGAAGACCAAATGCACCTTTTTGCACTAAAGAGAAGAGAATACATTCAGTATATTATTTTCAAAGGATAGTGAAATGATGCCACAGGGTCATGTGCTCAAAAACATAAATTATAAAAAAAAAAGATAATAAAAAACAGTTGAAATTGCTGTTAAAGCTTTTGAGTATTGGAGTTCCAACAAACTCTTCCTCACAAACCTAAACCAGCCAAGCTTGATCCACAGGGTTGAGATGGCACAGAGGGGGTGCACAGGCTGTAACTGTACCCCAGACCCCCCAGCCTCATATGGGACAGGTCCAGTGAAAACTCAGAAACCTGAACTGTCCCCTCTTCACATCTGAAGCTCTGCTGATGGACACATGGAGTCACTTAACTGGCCTTCACTCAGGTTCAGTTACATTACGGGCATTACCATCTTAGCCATGTGCTAAAAGCGACTTATTCTGATCATCCTATAGTGTAATTTCAGAAAGACATATATTACATAGCATAACACATTTTTAGCCTAAAGTTTTGTTTAGTTGAATTACCTTTTGAAATCCCTTAACAGCACTTGAAGAGATAGTACCATCTTGTCCACCTGATCCTGTTAGATCTCAGAAGCTAAGCAGGCCAGAGCTGGATGGGAGACCTCTAGGAACACCAGGTTTCACAAAGTAAAGTGCTTGTAAAGTTGTTGTAAAGTGCCAAACTGATGTGTTAACTCAACCCACTGTAGCTTCGGTTGGTAGAGTGTGTATCCTCTGAGCTGATGGTTAGCAGTTCGAATCCTATTCCTGATATAAACATCATTGGATAAGCGGTCAGACATGGGCAAGCCACGCCCCCAGAGTCTACCCGCCTGGGAGCCAGATCTTCAGTCCTGTACCACACAGTCTCAGTCCTCGTTCTACAACCTGAGCACTGGATTAATCATGTATGCTTGCAGGAAGAAAAAACCCTAAGCTTCCTTCTTTTTTTGGTTCCTTGCTTTGGGTGCTTTGAAAAGGAAGAAAGGCGCTATACAGTAAATATGTACCGTTTGGCCAAGTGGAGTCTGATGTTTGTGAATGATTGGTGGTGGTCCGAATGGCCGATGGCACAGAGTTGTCGCCTCTCTTTTAACAGTCTGTCCAAGGGCAGCTGTAGCTAATGTACACCGAGGGCAACTGTAGCTGAAGTAGAAGTTCACCACTGAATGTCCAAAATGTGATATATATACAATCAATGAATTATCATTACATGTGATGGACGAACAGAGGACCCATGGTAGAATATGAGCAGGGAGTACAGCAAAAACATTTCACAATTATGTAACTTTATGCAAACATTGTATTATATCGAAGGCCATTTTTGGGAAATCAGTGATGGAAAGATTACCAAATAATTTTACTACATTGGACTTCCCTGTTCATCTGTATTTAGAGCTGTCAATGTTTACTAAGAGGCTGTTGATTTGTGTTTTGTGGAAATGGGAAAATTGTCAAGTATTGAGATAAGCCAGTGCGACAATAACATTTTTATTTCCTGAAAGCATGAGGCAGCCACTCAAATCAAACCATCACAAAATATTGTCCTACGATTTTTTCCAAAATGCTTTGAAAATGAAATTTCTCTCTTATCTCTCTTCATCTCTTATTCCACAGTCCACCTCTTGCTATGGTGCACTGTTCCACCAAAACGCATTGGTTATAAATACCTTCAGCCTGGAAAAGGTTAATTAGTAGAGGCAGTTTCAATTATCTCTTTATCTCCATGGGGGGGTTAAGTGGGACAGAGCCATGGGCATTTCTTTGAGATGGGAGGGGCCAATTTACTGTATAATGGGACAGGCAAAGAGGAGAGTGTGAGAAGATAACTATAGATCAGGGAACTGAAATACAAACACATTAGTCAATATTGGAGCAGTTCAAATAACACAAGATGTGTCAGCGTATGTGGCCCTCTGCCATTGAGACCAAAAACATTCACACTGTCACTCAGCCAACTTCAGCTAAGCCAAGATACAGGTGAAACTCGGAAAATCAGAGAATCCCTCAAATAAATCCCAAATAAAAAATGTCAGAAAATGTTATTTTGGGCAAATCTAAGCCATAATAAATAAAATAATAACAAGCAAAGGCTTGACACTAGGGCTGCACGATATATCGAAAAAATATCGTAATCGCATAATTGGTGCGTGCGATATCCATATAAACAATATGAGCGATTTAAAAAAAAAAATGTATTAGAAAAAATAATGTCTTTATTACAGACAACAAAACAGACAGATACATCAAAATTCAAAAAATACAACAAACAAACAAAAAAGGATATAAATACATGCAATTGAATGTCATTAATATTTTTATTATTTGTCTCAATTGTCGTTTCAATGCAGATTGCAATTTTATGTGAAAGAAAAAAATATCGCAATAACATTGTTATCGCAATACTAAACACTCATCGAATATCACTCTAAATTCCAATATCGTGCAGCCCTGCATGACACATGTCACTTTGCATGAGTCCATATCAAATGGGTGTATTAAGTGGTAAAAAAGAAAAAAAGGCAAGGCAAGGCAAGTTTATTTGTATAGCACAATTCATACACAAGGCAACTCAAAGTGCTGAACAAGATAGCATTAAAATCATAAATAATCACAGAACATTAAAACGAAAGATAAAAATATAAAATCCCTCAGTTGTATGCACAGCTAAACAGCACCGTTTTTAACTTGGTCTTAAACATTGTCAGAGAGGGGGCCTGTCTCACATCTTCAGGAAGATTGTTCCAGATTTTAGCAGCATGAATCTGAAAAGCAGCCTCCCCATGTTTAGTTCTGACTCTGGGCACTAACAGGAGTCCAGTCCCTGTGCTCCTCAGAGTCCGGGCTGGTTCATATGGGACTAACATGTCACTAATATATTTTGGTGCGAGGCCATGGAGAGACTTGTACACAAGCAGAGCTGTTTTAAAGTCTATTCTCTGAGCCACAGGAAGCCAGTGCAGAGACCTGAGAACTGGACTAATGTGGTCGTACTTCCTGGTTCTAGTCAGGACTCGAGCTGCTGCATTTTGAATGTACTGCAGCTGTTTTACAGCCTGTTTGGACAGACCTGTGAGCAGGCCATTGCAGTAGTCTAACCTACTGGAGACAAATGCATGGATAAGAATCTCCAAGTCTGCTTTAGACACTATGTTTTTGATGCTGGCAATGTTTTTTTAGATGGTAAAAAGCTGCCGATGTTACTGATTTGATGTGGCTATTAAAATTTAAGTCTGAGTCCAGTATTACCCCTAGATTTCTGACATTGTTTGAAGGTTTTAGGGAGAGAGACTGTAGGTGACAGATGACGCTCTCTCTTTGTTTCTGGGGACCAAAGACAATCATTTCAGTTTTGTCTGCGTTTAGCTGAAGGAAGTTGTTTTGCATCCACTCACTGATCTGTTGGATACAGTGAAGGAGTGAGTCCACTGGTCCATGTTCTCCTGCAGTCAGTGAGACATAGATCTGAGTGTCGTCTGCATAGTTGTGATAGGACACTTTGTTTCTGCGTATTAACTGACCTAACGGCAGCATGTAGAGATTGAACAGAAGAGGTCCCAGGATCGACCCCTGTGGGACTCCACAGGTCAGGGCCATATGATCTGAGACACAGTTTCCAATCTCCACAAAGTACTTCCTGTCTTCAAGGTAAGACCTAAACCAACTTAGGG